TGATTGCAAATAGTTTTTAACATACCAACAAAAGTTTAGCATATTTACGTCCCCTTAACTTAGGTCCTTACCTGTTACAGCTTGTAGATCCGATCCGGGGTCTGGTCGTCTCGTTTTCTTTAGACCAGAACATTATCAGTAGATTTCCGTAGGTGTCAATGATGGCCACGTTTCATAACTTTTACCCCAACATACTATGGAGTGTAGAGTATATACATGTAAAATAGTTTTGTAGTATAGATGTTAAAGAAAACCACAAAATATATGAAACGTTTATTACGTTGATTTAGGAAAGCAATTTTGACAAAAGGGGGGGCGAGAATTTTTCGAAGTTAAATTTTGACCTAAACTACCACCAAAACATTATTACGCTTTCTTAATACATTTCACATTTGGCAGTCGACTTCAAGCGCTGATGATTGGTGACTTACTAGAATCTGTTTGTAAATGTATACCAATATCGTTTACGGGGAGGCTGGTTATTACCATTAATGCAGATGACAAAATGAAATGAAAATTCTAATACCATTCTTTTAGAATACCGTCTGCTAGGCAAACCAAAGCTCGCCTAGGATCTAGGTAGAGCGCCTTGCAGGGTGCTCTGCCTATTACAAATCAGTGTGAATATAAGTACAAACCCAGAGAAAACAAAGCTCCTCAGTTGACTGGTTTTCAAATAAAGCAGATGAGAACTCTCGGCGTCAGGAGAGGTGGGATGACTAACGTTTGATAGTGTTAACGCTGAAGGGTGTTAGTTAAATGTTGTGATCTCCCCTGCTACTGGTGGTGGTGGTGTTGCCGACTAATAGGTCAATAAAGGTAAACACGAGGTTGCCAATCAAAAATCCCGCCCTACTGGTGAGATGGTTCTAGAATCAAATTGCTTCCCATTCCCGCTGGTTGTCTCACCTGACCGCCGATAATTCTCAATAGCAACGTGAGAAAAAATTTAAATAAATCAAATATTTCCATCATTACTCCATGCTTACATCCAACAAAGTCAATATCTACCGCATTTATTATTGATCCTGTAGACACCAACTGGCCACGACATAACAGAAAATCAGCTCAATTTTGAAGGGGTCACATCTAATAAACCAATAAGTAATACATTATTAATCTTAAACGTACAGTGAATTCATGGGTTGTAACACTTAAGACAATAATAGATATTTAACAATATCAACACCATCAGGAAAGTTATAAAATTTGGACTGGTTGGATTCTTGTTGCCAATGAGAATTATGGTTATGACGTTTTCCTTGCTACAACCACACGATTCACTGGTTAATACAGTAACAATCTCTTCATACTTGTTGGTTTCGTCCTCTGACTGTCGGTACGCAACGTTACATACAAAGAGGCGGGACCGAGGGAGCCCGACCCCATGGGAAGTACAAAATGCTAATTGGTTCATTTAGCAGTAATAAGTAATGCAGTCTGGCTGGCCGTCTCCAACAAAGAAACGACCAGCCGACCCAAGCGTTGTTTTCACACTATCAAACTGTCTCTCCACGTTGGTCCAGAGAGCTCCATTAAGTCACATAGTCTATTCACTTCACAGTCTCTAAGGTGGTGGGAAAGAGCTGCGACACACTCGCCGGGTAGCCTGTGCACGTTTGTTAACCTAACAGCTGGGACTGCTCCTCAATGGTGAGTCACAAATGCACTGGGAAAGAAAGAAAAAAACAGACTCCTCGATCATAACACGTTCGAGGGGGGTCTTACAGGCAGCAGAGAGGCCGAGGGGCGACCGTTGTGGTGGTGTTGCGGCCGTGAGTATCGAGGTGGTGAGCGTAGCGTCAATGAGGAGCGCCCAGCCGCAGCCTCGACTACTGGTAGCCACGCTGGCGGTGTGAAAAGTGAGGTGTGAGGAATGGTCGACCCTTAGGCATCATTTGTAGACTGGAGTGTGGAGGGTCGAGTGGAGCATGCTATTAGGGGTTGCGTTCATCAGTTTTGGTCGCCCCCTTCGTTAGCATCTTCCCCTTCACCCTGCGTATCACTCGTCCACAGCGTCAGGTTGTCTCGCAAAAGCTGCATAATGAGCGTAGAGTCCTTGTACGAGTCTTCATTCAACGTATCCAACTCTGCGATTGCATCGTCGAATGCCTAGAAGTAGAAGAAAGGCAAATGCAAGTTCAACAAATATGAAGAACGAATATTCACCCTAGCATTGAAGTTCATTTTATAATTAAATGAACTTTGAAAACCTTGAAATAAACCAGAAATCACAAATGTAGCTTGCTATCCTGTTGAAAAGTGGGAGGATTTTGTCTAGATACTCCGGTTAAACCATGTCAATGTTAATTACTACTAGCATTTTTTTCAGTCCGAGTAGCATGCAATAACCGTCATAGGAAATCAAGAAGTTCCAATTAATTACAACACTACGTGAAACATTTGTACACTCTTGCTACATTAATCTGATGAACACAATTCCAATTGTTTAACAATTACAAAGATTTTACATTATAGGAGGCCGGGTTGAATGAGATTACAAGCCACCCCATCTCTTGTTAGGTAACGAGATTCGTAGGAAATAGTGGCACGAAATATTCAAAACGGAGGTTCATGTGGGGTATAGTCGGAGCCCGGGGGGTGGGGCACAGAGAGCAACAGGTTCTCACTCCCAGTAATGTCATCAGCCATGCAGGTCACACACTCCATCCTCGTGACCCTACGTGTACCACGTTTCAAACTACTAAATTTATACTTACAGTATAAAGGTTAACAATCTATGTCAAACAAATTCCTAATAGTAACTCGCAATTTCATAAACTAATAATAAATTTTGTTCACACACTGTTGAAGTTGGTTTAATGTGACCTCGATGTACAGTAAGACTGACCGAAGATACAAAAATCCACACTATCTACCAATAATCAAAAGTTGGTTAGTTTAACAACACAAGGTAAGGATTTTGTTAAATCTAATACTCTAAGTGATCTACCCAGCTAGTGAGCTGATCCCATGACACGCGGGGTCATGCAGAGGGGTCAAGGGTCAAGTTAGCGAGTGGTCACGTAAGTCACAGCAGCCGCACATGGGTTCAGGTCGCGTTACCTGCTTGGCTAAGTGACATGCTCTGTCGGGGGAGTTCAGGATCTCGTAGTAGAATACGGAGAAGTTGAGGGCTAAGCCTAGCCTGATGGGATGGGTAGGCTGCATCTTAGACTTGGCGATGTCGAAGGCCTCCTGGTACGACTTCTGGGAGTCGTCAACCACAACTTGAATAATAAACAAGGGAGGGTAAAATAAATAACGAAACTATAAAATAAATTTTGGGGTCTCCAAGTGACTGCCACGAGTTGCCAGTCAGACAGCATTATTACGTGTTGCTCCCCGCCGCCACCGGTCCCCTGGAAGGTGAGAGATTGTAGTACCTGTTTAGCTAGCTGGCATGCCTTATCAGGCGAGTTGAGGATCTCGTAGAAGAAAACTGAAAAGTTGAGTGCCAGGCCCAGCCTGATGGGGTGGGTGGGCTGCATCTCTGCCTTGGCGATATCGAAAGCCTCCTGGTAGGACTTCTGGGAATCGTCCACAACACCTGAACAAAGAAACCATTTTTGTTACAGAAACCTTATTCTTAAACTACAAATTCAGAAGCAAATAAATTACGTCTTTTAACCTCTGACCAACAGCGACTTCCGACTTTTTTATGAAATGTACAATTATAGTTTGCTACCAGAATACTCTTGGTGGAACAATTCAAGCGCTAGCCGAGTCAAGGCGATAAGCAAGTGGGAAGGTATTTCCGTCCACATCCTGTCAGCTCGCCTAGCTAGCTAATGAACCCCACCCACCCACCACCCTTCCCATCCAACTTATTACACCTGTCCGCCACTATAAACTAGACGTTTCCTACCCAAAACACATGGTATGCATGTACCGAATTTAAATTGTTAGATATAAAATGGCAAAAGTACTATTCAATAATCATTACTGTACTCTGAATCTAGTACAGTTTGAAGCCCTTCCCCTAAAACTTAACACCTCGCTCTCGTTCCTTTGCAATGGACACATTTTCCTCTCCTTCCAAGTGGCAGACACGAGAAAAAAGCGAGAAATGGGGAGATAAAAGAAGATATAAGCGGTACCCGGTAAGAGTAGAAGAGAATGGGAGACGGCAAGAAAAGGGTTGAGAAACGAGGAGAGAATGGGAATGTTACCTGGCAGGTGCAGGTCAGAACAGTACAGGTATATGGAAACGGCTAGACAAACCTAAGCGAGTCCCTTCGTGCCTTGTCCACACACTCCTTTACAGCTTGCTACCTAGTTAACATGATATAATCTAATACATAAGATGACAGGCCTAGATTTAAACATTCTTCACATCTACAGTACATTTGACTAATACGCTGGGCAAATATTTCAGGCCAGGTGAATTTGATAAAGTTGAACTCACTTAAAATAGAGATTAATAGCACACCTGCTCAACCTTCACCTACAGGCTTTCAGTCCTAATACAACACTAGTGTTGGCCATACTCCACATGACAAACTTAACTTGGCTTTGTGATGTGTGGAAAGTCAGTCACTGTACCCACACACCAAAGGACAATTAGTCTCGCTTTTTGTTGTCGACGCCCACAATCACACTTTCTCTACCAGACGCCCTTACTTGGCTTAGAATGTTCAAGCTTAAAAATTAATTCACAGTCCCACCTACAGTCACTATCATTAGCCTCACTATATTCGAGGTTGTGCTGAGCGGGCTTGCGGCAGCGCCAGTGAGGGCGGCTGACCTCACCACTGATATGCGGTACCTGTCTAAGCTGCTCTACTAACTAGGTCACCACCACTGCCGTCAGTATTCTACAAACGGCAAGCTCAAAACTTTCTTCAGTAAGAGAAGGAATTTAGCTTTTCATGTCTTAAATCCACCACCCTACATGCACAATTCCCAAACATGTTACACACTAAATTCAGACTGGTGGGTTAGACCTATACTGTAACGGTATAATGTGGAGTGGGTTACAATAGTAGTAGGAAGAGGAAGCAATAAAAAAGTCAATAGGGGTGGTGGTAGTAGTAGAAGTAGAGGGAGCAGCAAATGTGGGTGGAGGAGAGGGTAACAAAAGTAAGTGGGTGGAGGAGAGCAACAACAAAACTGGGTGAAGGAGAGGGCAACAACAGCAAGTGAGTGAAGGAGAGGGCAACAAAAGTAAAAGTGGGTGAAGGAGAGGGCAACAGCAGCAAAAGTGGGTGAAGGAGAGGGCAACAGCAGCAAAAGTGGGTGGAGGAGAGGGCAACAGCAGCAAAAGTGGGTGGAGGAGAGGGCAACAGCAGCAACAGCAGTGGTGGAGGAGACAACAACAGCAGCAAAAGTGGGTGGAGGAGAGGGCAACAGCAGCAAAAGTGGGTGGAAGAAGGAGGAGAGGGCAACAGCAGCAAAGGTGGGTGGAGGAGAGGGCAACAGCAGCAAAGGTGGGTGGAGGAGAGGGCAACAGCAGCAAGGTGGGTGAAGGTGGTGGGTGAGGAGAGGGCAACAGCAGCAAAGGTGGGTGGAGGAGAGGGCAACAGCAGCAAGGTGGTGGAGGAGAGGGCAACAGATGCACAAGTGGGTGGAGGAGGGCAACAGCAGCACAAGTGGGTGGAGAGAGGGCAACAGCAAAAGTAGGTGGAGGAGAGCAAGCAAGAAGTGGGTGGATGAGAGCGACAACAAAGTGGGTGGAGGGCGCAACGACAGCAAAAGTGGGTGGGGAGAGGCAAAGTGGGAGAGGGCGGAGGAGCAAAAGAGGGTGGAGGAGAGGGCGGGAGGAACAAAGGTGGAAGGGCAGGAGAAGCAAAAGAGGGTGGAGAGGGCAGGAGAAGCAAAAGAAGGTGGAGGAGAGGGCGGGAGAAGCAAAAGGGTGGAGAGGGCGGGAGAAGCAAAGTGGGTGGAGAGGGCAGGAGAAGCAAAAGGAGAAGAGTGGAGGAGAGGAGAAGCAAAAGTGGAGGGAGAGAGAAGCAAAAGTGGGTGGAGGAGAGGGCGGGAGGAGCAAAAGTGGGTGGAGAGGGCGGGAGAAGCAAAGTGGGTGGAGAGGGCAGGAAAAGCAAAGTGGTGGAGAGGGCGGAAAGCAAAGTGGGTGGAGAGGGCAGGAAAAGCAAAAGTGGTGGAGAGGGCAAGCAAAAGTGGGTGGAGGGGCAACCGCAGCAAAAGTGGGTGGAGGGCAACCGCAGCAAAAGTGGGTGGAGGGCAACCGCAGCAAAGTGGGTGGAGGGCAACCGCAGCAAAAAGTGGGTGGAGGCAACCGCAGCAAAAGTGGGTGGAGGGCAAACGCAGCAAAAGTGGGTGGAGGGCAACCGCAGCAAAAGTGGGTGGAGGGCAACCAGCAGCAAAAGTGGGTGGAGGGCAACCGCAGCAAAAGTGGGTGGAGGCAACCGCAGCAAAAGTGGGTGGAGGGCAACAGCAGCAAAAGTGGGTGGGTGGAGGAGAGCACAACAAAAGTGGGTGGAGAGGGCGGAGGAGCAAGTGGGTGGAGGAGAGGGTGGAGGAGCAAAAGTGGGTGGAAGAGGGCGGAGGAAAAAAATTAGAGGGCGGTGGAGAAAGTGGGTGGAGGAGAGGGGGCAGTAAAAGTGGGTGGAGAGGGCAGCAAAAGTGGGTGGAGAGGGCAGCAGTAGCAAAGTGGGTGGAGAGGGCAGCAGTAGCAAAGTGGGTGGAGAGGGCAGCAGTAGCAAAGTGGGTGGAGATGGCAGCAGTAGCTAAAGTGGATGGAGAGGGCAGCAGTAGCTAAAGTGGATGGAGAGGGGCAGCAGCAAAAAGTGGGTGGAGAGGGCGGCAGTAGCAAAAGTGGGTGGGAGGCCGCGACAGCAGCAGCAAAAGTGGGTGGAGAGGGCGGCAGCTGTTAGTGGGGGGAGGGCCGACACAGTAGGTGGGAGGGGAGGGCCGACAGTAGTTGGGGGAGGAGCAACAGTACGAGCCCCCACAACATATCGTACTGCTATGAATTATTTTAGGTAAATCCCAGTCCTCTGAATAAGAATCTAAGAAAATTCTACTTTAATGCCCAGTGAAAAATAAACCAAAATAAACCAGACAAGTTATAATGGTGGCTGGTTACACGTGTTACCACCCCCCCCATCTGTACCAGGTCCCCTACGGTCCTCCCTACCCAGTGTGCCAGCTGGGAAGGTGGTAGGTCAGTCCAGGTAGTTACTTGGCCAGTCAAGCTACGCCCTTAACCCATGAGACAAAGGCAAGCATGAACTTAGCACGCTTCCTGTTGGGCACTATAAACCTTCTGCGCTTCACCACACAGGATGTAGGGGTCCCCAAAAAAGTCCACACTAGTGGACTCCCCTTCACCAATTCCAAATCAACAAAATATATCCATAAGCCCCATTACTACCTATAGACGTAACTACAGACGTCCACCTTCCCCACATGCTACTACAGGGTATACTGCACAGTACCCCAATTCGTCACCCTGACATTTATATTCAAATTATATCTTCCAACCAATACAATATAAAGACGTTCTTAGAGCTGGCCACACTAGTACTTAGAACCATAACCTATCGTAAGTCGTACGAGAGCCGTTACCAACAACTATTGTATTACGTAATAAGAAATCCCAGAATTTCGTTACTATAAATGCCCACCTGTCTCAGCTACAGTATCTTCATACCAGTTTATTCCAGTATTAGCGAGCTCACAATGCCTTATCTCACGTAAAAACTTGCGTAAACTACTACTACTACTACGCTTAAACTCCTGGCGCGATCGCCACTCAATTGACAAAAGATTTCTTCTGGTCTAAATCTATGAAGGTTTCACTTCAAAATAGTTATTTAACAGGCACCAGACAGGACCGTTTCATCACATTCAAGACCGAAAAATTCCCCAAATCAGCCACGCTCTCCCATCTTTAGCCTCCGCGGGTGGTGCCAGCGAGAACAACTATTCTCGTTGCCAAATGCCACCCAGTCCATAAAGTAACATTTACTTGAAGTTCAGGGGGCATACGAACCTGGATATTAAAACCTTTGTACTTTATTCTAATGAACAAATTCATTAGATGACATATGAAAATCGAGGTGCAGAGTAAATATAGCAGACCGGATAGTTAATAGTTAGTGAGGAAGTTAAGGCGCGGAGAGCGGGATGACGACCCGCGGCTGAGTCACGCCTACGTGTGGCCAACGCCCCGCACCACCACCACTCTTTCAGCAGCACAACTAAATCTGACTCTTACCGCTCTTTAATACTTCACGTAGTCACGGGAAATGCCACCGCTTTCATCCCAACCCAGTGTTGTAATGGACACACTTCACATACTGCTACTTGTCACTCCAGCCCACGAACCTAATATGGAAGGATCCTAGCCTCCTTCCCTCACCATGCGGCCATGGCCAGGTAATCTTACTAGTTGATGTTCCCTGCCGAATTTACTAGACATGACCAATCGCCGCACATTCACTGATAAGCTTATCAAAAAAAATGCGGACGAAGCTGCCAAAAGCCAACTATATCAAATCTAACATCAAAACTTTTAGGGCGAATATAATGACATCTCGTGGCGCGTGGATCTGTAAGACAAGTGTAGGATGGATGTTCTCACCCCGGTGCTGAGGGCGTTCGTTGGCGTCGTGATAAACCCTTGAAGCAGCTGTTCCAGCGCCTACTATGCGCACATTAAAGATACTGTAGTAATCACAGCTAGAACTATCGCCTCCACTAATATAGAGCGCATGGACAACAATGTGGGCTGGCTATTTGGTTGGGACCTGACCAGGTGGTATGTCTCCGTCGACGAATTCCAAAATGAAAAACAGCTGCTTCGTTACCCAGGCAGTATAATTATATTGTTGATCCTCTATGTTTAAGTTAAAACATTTAACCTTGTGACAAATACTTGTCAAATCGCTGCCGTTTGAAAAATATGACTACACGTGAACGAATTCTTGCTGTTGGTTGCAGAGGAAAAAATAACGGAGCTTCACTATACTAAAACAAGCACAGAATCTTGGGTACTCACCCGCTCGGACATCTCCGGTGGCTACCTCAGCCAGGTACCTGTAGTAATCACCCTTCATCTTCAGGTAAAATACCTTAGATTCTGGATTTGAGGCCTTGGGGATAAGGAACTTGTCGAGAAGACCCTGGAGGGGGAAGAGATTAAACAATATTGAAATATATATCCAGTTTCAAGACATGCCTACAAAATACCCCCATACATGCCCCTTTCTACAGCCCAAGACAAATTACATTGCAAGGCTTAAGCTACACATCTAATCCTAATATTTCATACCACAATCAAGCTTAAGAACCCCCGGGACAATCACACAAGCATCAAGTCATAGTAACTTGATACATGGAACAGTAAGGAAGAGTCGAAGTAGCGGAGGGTGAACAAAACGACCGGGACAAGCACTCCCAACACACCTACAGAAGGTAAAGGTAAAGGAGGAGGGAAGATATGGGGCGGCGAGAGGGAAGATATGGGGGGCGGGCGAGAGGAAGATATGGGGGCGGGCGAAAGAAAGATATGGGGGGCGGGCGAGAAAGAAAGATATAAAGTAAGAGAAAGAAAGATGGGGGCGGGCGAGAAAGAAAGATATGGGGGCGGCGAGAAAGAAAGATATGGGGGCGGGCGAGAAAGAAAGATATGGGGGGCGTGGCGAGAAAGAAAGATATGGGGGCGGGCGAGAAAGAAAGATATGGGGCGGGGCGAGAAAGAAAGATATGGGGGCGGGCGTGAAAAGATTAAGGGGGCGGCGAGAAAGAAAGATATGGGGGCGTGCTTTTGTTGTTGATATGGGGGCGGGCGAGAAAGAAAAGATAAGGGGGCGGGCGAGAAAGAAAAGATATGGGGGCGGGCGAGAGGAAGATATGGGGGCGGGCGAGAGGAAGATATGGGGGGCGGGCGAGAGGAAGATATATGGGGGCGCAAAGGAGAGGAAGATATGGGGGCGGGCGAGAGGGAAGATATGGGGGCGGGCGAGAGGGAAAGATATGGGGGCGGGCGAGGAGGGAAGATATGGGGGGGCGGGCGAGAGGGAAGCTGATTATGGGGCGGGCGAGAGGGAAGATATGGGGCGGCGAGAGGGAAGATATGGGGGCGGGCGAGAGGGAAGATATGGGGCGGGCGAGAGGGAAGATATGGGGGGGGCGGCGAGAGGGAAGATATGGGGGCGGGCGAGAGGAAGATAAGTGGGGGCGGGCGAGAGGGAAGATATGGGGGCGGGCGAGAGGGAAGATATGGGGGCGCGCGAGAGGGAAGATATGGGGGCGGGCGAGAGGGAAGATATGGGGGCGGGCGAGAGGGAAGATATGGGGGCGGGCGAGAGGGAAGATAGCGGGGCGGAAGCAGAGGGAAGACATGGGGGCGGCTGAGAGGGAAGGATATGGGGCGGGCGAGAGGGAAGATATGGGGCGGGCGAGAGGGAAGATATGGGGGGCGGGCGAGAGGGAAGATATGGGGGCGGGCGAGAGGGAAGATATGGGGCGGGCGAGAGGGAAGATATGGGGCGGGCGAGAGGAAGATATGGGGCGGGCGAGGGAAGATGGGGGCGGGCGAGAGGGAAGATATGGGGGCGGGCGAGAGGGAAGATATGGGGGCGGGCGAGAGGGAAGATAGCGGCGGGCGAGAGGGAAGATTGGGGGGCGGGCGAGAGGGAAGATGGGGGCGGGCGAGAGGGAAGATGGGGGCGGGCGAGAGGGAAGATGGGGGGTGGCGGGCGAGAGGAAGATGGGGGCGGGGCGAGAGGAAGATGGGGGCGGGCGAGAGGGAAGATGGGGGCGGGGCGAGGGAAGATGGGGGCGGGGCGAGAGGAAGATGGGGGCGGGCGAGAGGAAGATGGGGGGCGGGCGAGAGGGAAGATGGGGGCGGGGCGAGAGGAAGATGTGGGCGAGAGGGAAGATGGGGGGCGGGCGAGAGGGAAGATGGGGGGCGGGCGAGAGGGAAGATGGGGGGCGGGCGAGAGGGAAGATGGGGGGCGGGCGAGAGGGGAGTGGACACATCTCGCTGGAGTTGACATTACAGGGATGCTCATTAATGGGCGGGGACACTAACAATCGCCTGATCCACCACCCATGTCAACCCAGAATTCATAGCCAGCAGGAACTGAAGGTTATATGGGAGTCGATGCTACTTTTCAAAATAAGAAAAACAAAATGGAGTCGGCAATTACAGTGGTGGTCCGAAACGGCAACATTGATCTTCAAACGATGGCCCACTATAATGTATATTTTTCGTGTTACTTGTTTAATGTTCACGGTGAGGCCTATTTTCTTGGTTGTACCAGCTAGTAAAGATAAAGCTTCAGCAGAACACAAGGTACTGTAGCACTAAGCGGGACGGGGTGAAGCACTGAGGGTGGTGGGAAGATGGGTGGGAGGAGGGAGGTTCGAAGGTAAGAGCAGGTAGGTAGGTGAGAAGAATGCGAGGTAGGTATGTGGGCCACACTAAGACGTGGCTCACTGCCTAAAACTAACCTCCCGTCAACAAAATACCAATATTTTAGTCGCCACAAACCCTCGAAAATTATTTAAATGGTTTATTTTACTTCAAAACTTACAAGATCCTGAAATTATCAAACGGACATGGCAAACTAAGTTACCCTCTAATACACATTAGTACAGGAATTGTAACCGCTAAAAATCAAACCCATTTATTGGGAATAGATTATGAATACCCTGTACTATCGTAGCTCCGCAACACAGCCAAGGTTATATGGCATTTATTGGGAAACCCGTGTACACTCGAAAAAAAAAACTGCCGTACAGCCGGGGTCCGATGATTTTTCTACTAACATTCCCGTTTTCTCGCGAGGATTGGTAAGCCTGAACGGGACATTTCGTAGGCAGAAATTAGCTATTTCATTGACAATATTGAATTACTTGGTTACAACAAGACTGGAGAATGTCAGTATATCTTAATAAATTAAACTATGTTATACTAAATTAAAGTTCCACACACCGTGGACTACAGTAACCATGGGAGTGGATGAGTTGCCATAGAGGAATGCATGATATGTTTGGCAGAATTAGTGGATATAGTCAAGGTGTAAGAATATCTTGCAACCGAATTTCTAATATTTGTATAGCCACTTCACTTTGGTTTAATGCCACATTATAGTTCTTTGCTCGTATTAGACAATATACCGAATAGCTCCAGTTTCGCATGCCGTCATAATGGAACCCGGCCCAACGACGTTTTACCATATGGTCGAGAATTCCGTTAAGTCTAGTACTGGGTTTCGTTTCAGAGTGCCGTTCACGTGTTTCGAGCACGTGTCCGAACCCATACACGCGCAGGGCTACCAATGCGAGGAATGCCCCAGGGGCCTTTTTGAAACGCTTCGTTTGTAGCGTCAGTTTGTTTCGCGCAGGAATTATAACGTTAGTTTTTTTTACCGAGTGTACCAAAATGCATTAAAGAATAAGCAAGCAAATACATTTGTTACTTGGCAGTGGCGACTCTAGGCGACTCGTACCTTTCCTTTCCGACAAACATTGATGCCTGCCTGTGGATATGATGAACTATGGATAAACACGTGGTAATCAACAATTCCCTGAGAACTACGCTTAAAATATTACTTTAATGAAGGATAGATATAGATAGATAGGTGTGTATGTATGTATGTGTGTATATATATATATATTATATATATATATATATATATATATATTATATATATTATATATATATTATATATATATATATATATATATTATATATATTATATATATGTAAATCTTGATAAAATCACACAGGAAAAGAAATGGAAACAACAGGTACCTTAGCTTTCACGTCTTTATTCAAGACATCTTCAGAGGCAACTGTTGCCTCAGTTGCCCTCTGAATGTCTTGAATAAAAGAACAAAACTAAAATATTATCAGACTATCTTATCCACGTTTTCATTGTGGTTACATGATAATAATATATATATATATATATATATATATATATATATATATATATATATAATATATATATATAATATATATATATATATATATATATATATATATATATATATATATATATATATACACACACACACAAGGAGCGAGAGCCATGTATAGAGTGGTCCTCTACTAAGTCTGCTGGTATTGACTGAGGCTACAGTCATTGAATGCCGCATAGATCTGCGGCTCAACTAATTCAACACAGGATAGCTACTTATGTATTAGGATATTTAACATTAAGGTAATAAAATGGTGGCAAAGGTGTGGCTATTGGGGGAGGCTGAAGGCCACGTTTATTAAAGAAAAAAAAGTATGGTGAAAATATGTAAACAAACCTGTACGAATGATCTGTACGAGTTACATCTGGTGGCTGGGGCAGCCAAAAATTTTAATAAACTTTTTCCATGGGGGAAGGGATCACTAAGTGTGCAAACACTAAAGCACAAGATAATGTTTATTTAGTAATGTAAATCTCCATACAGTATATATTTCCATTACTGCAGTGGCATCAAAACTTTTTGTAAATTTCTTCCCAGCTTCATGATGCCACAACACAAGTTGGAAAACAAAATTGAATACATCACAGCTACAATTGGAGCCACAACTCCACATCCGTCCTAATGCTTGTACGGTAAAAACAAGATAATTGCTCTGGGTGTTTGCAAAATCGAACTAATACTTCATATAGTATACAGTACAGTATATAGACTTTTCACTGAACTTTAATACAAATCTTTGTGGCAAAGTTTATTACCGAGATATAAATTAAGTTCTGAAAATATGCATCACAGAAATAACAATCTCAACACAAGTTCAGGTACTGTACTGGTATTCACTACAGCAAATGGGCAAGGTGCCTGTGGACGTGGGAGGTGCCGAGGAAATGAGCAAGTGGGCAAGACGCCAGTTGGTGTGTGCAAGCTAGCAAGATGCCAGTAGGTGAGTGCAAGCAAGTGGGTGGATGGGTATGAGCAAGCAGCTAAGTGGTTCAAGTGAGTGGATGATTATCTAAAATCACACGTTACAAAAATATCAAACTTTCTTGTGCCTAGTACCATATATTTAAGCTTACTTCCATTTATGTTGTATACATCTTTTAAAGCACCTGGTACTTGAATTTTCAAGCAAATACGTTGCCCCCCCCCCCCCTGAATTGTGGATGGGTACCAACATACTGTACAAAAAAAAATTGCCGTACTGTACGTCTAGAAATATTTACAGTCCACAGGAATAGCAAAACAGTCAGAATTACTACTAGGAGAGCTTACTACCTGGCAATTTTCAATGCTGTACATGTATGTAAAGCAGGAAAATTAATGGTATAATGCATCGCTACTGACAAGAGGCAAAACCCACTTCCCAGAGTAAATTAAATCCCTTTACCCGACAACATTACTATACAGTATTATCGAGTTCAACCCACATTATAGAACTCAAATTTTAGATCTTGTGGAAGTTTGTATTACTGTCAAGATTTTTTTTTAGTTGTTTGGCCATACAACAGTGGTGGTGGTGAGTCCTAGCACAGCCAAACACATGACACCCCAAATCACTGACAATTGAATGTTAAATAACTTTACAGACATGCCCTCTTTGGGTGCTACTATAGTATGCAGTCTAGCAAGCTGGAGTTGGTCAACCAGGATACTTAAACTGTAGCACCCTAGGTTACATTAATGGACACTAGTGTGAATATCCCGGTAGACCTACTACAGCTCAAGAGACCGCATACTATAGTGTAAAGATCCCGGTAGACCTACTCCAGCTCAAGAGACTGCATACTATAGTGTAAAGATCCCCGTAGTCCACACTTTACTGTAGCAGCATCCACCTTTGATTAAGGCTTCTCCATTAAGTCCGGAAATTAGATTAAAATAGATTTCCCAGAACTTCACAAGTTAATCTCCCTTCTCAACTGCCTGTTTGCCTTCACCCTTTAAAACATATTTTATGACAAAATTACGAATCTTTGCATATGTACTTACCAATACATCCTGGCATATTTCCCTAAGTTCTGTTTCGACCTGGAGGGAGAAAAATAACATGTATTAGCAACTTTGTATAAAATTTGAAAATTATATACAGTTGTAAATACCAGCTTATAATATAATAATACAGCTGTACAGCAGAATGAAGACTACTCACCTTCTCTCTGTATTCCTTTGCCATTTGTTGTTTTCGTTCAGAACCCTCTGTTTTCTGTTCTATGGAGGAAATAACTCGCCAGGAACTTCTCCGAGCTCCTACGACATTCTTGTATGCTACTGACAAAAGATTTCGCTCCTCATTTGAGAGCTCGACCCCTAGAAACAGAGATAAAATACATTTATCTTAACCATCATGTTATAAAGTCCCCATCACCCCTCCACTGATGCAGGTTATTTCTTGACATTTCCAGTAAGATTCTTACAAATTCTCAACATCTAAAGACCTATATAATCAGCAGTGTAAATGAATGACTAGTAATAATAGAAATCTTTGCCCCCACCACCAATCTCAACACCAAAAACCCACCATTTGATGTTTACTCTATAGCACAGCTCATGATTTGACATCACTCATTCATGGATGGAGCTTCTGGGCGACCATGTGGTGGCAGTGCGGAGGACAAACAAAGTGCTGTTTACCTGTTGCCCTCGATGATAAATCCAAATAACCACGGTTACAATTCTTACTCATTAAAAGACAAAATACACTAAGTGTAACAGCTGTCAGCATATGAACTATACAGGTGCTCCTCTACTTACAAACGAGTTATGTTCCTGGGGCTTGTTTGTAAGTCCAACTTTACTCTTGTAGATACCAAACATTGTAAAAAATTGAAAGATTGTGGATATTTAGTACAGCCTTAAAACCTGGCTCACTCTTCTCTTAGGCAATGTTTGTTCTCTGGAATTTTCTTCAAAATAATCCAGTCATCCACATTAAACACCTGTTCTGGCAGGTAACCCTGATGATGTTTGTATCTCTTAAAGTTTTTAAGTTGAACATTCTTAAGTAGAGGAGCACCCGTATATTTCTTTGGAGACGTTTGTCCTCTGTTCCCAAGTTGTTGCTTCACCGTCCCAAATCTAATTTTAGTAACATTGGCAGAAAATTCATGTAAACTCAGGAAATACGATATTGACACCATTCCTTCAGGAATATATACAGTATACCATACTTAACAGTATACTGTAGTATACTAAAAAAAAAATACTATATATATAGTACGCAGCTACCGAACAGGGAGGTACTACCGTCTGTTTAGATATTGGAAGCATAATGTATTGTCTAATGGTAGACCCTGCTGCCATATGGCATCACAAAAATTGTGACCAAGCACCAGGTTGCTGATCTGTCTTTGTGTGTGTGTACTACTGGAGTATATATTATAAAAACTTCCAAGTTCTGGTGATAAATAAGGTTTATTTAATAATATGCACCTTATCAAAGGCTTCTGTGGTAGGTTCATGGCCTCACCAGTCAACACTGGGGCTGTTAACAGAGGTTGTATAACCACACTGGCTGTGCAATTTAAAACTTAAATTTCACTTTCATTTGAACAATTTATTCCACCATTTAGGAAAGTAGGATTTGCCATAATTGGTAGATGCCTGAAATAACACCTGCTTGATTGTCATGCTGTACTGTATAGTATAATTACTTTTTTCCCCCTAATGATTGCAGCATGGTTACTGTTGACTTCAAGGTTCTATTTTAACTTTTCAGGTCTTTCAGCTTTGTCAATAGATGCTTAGTATTTTTTTTTAATCTTATAAGGTCACTACTGACATTTTCACAGCAGTAGTGCCATACTACCAGTGGTTGGCAAAGTAATAAAGTATTTGTAATCTACTTTAACTAAATAGTTTCTCCAACAATCTACTTTTTACTTCATTTTTGTGAACAAGCTATGCAGTGGAAGTGCCCCCCTTTTACTATGCTACAAAGCCGTTCATTCTCCATATTGATAAATGGAGGTAAAATTATGTAGTCTCCGGGATTTGCACGTTCTTGCCATGTACAGTTTAACACAAGTTATGTGAAGTGTACAGTATTTATTTTGGCATAATTATTATGAAGTTGGATTACCAAATTTAGTAGGATTAGTATGTCACTAGGTATTTCTTTTAACTGTAAAAGGATTTAGAATGTGTTAATCAATTACCAGTTTACATTTGCAGTATTTTAGTAAAATTCAGACATCGGTACTCGACTGTACCCTATATAGCATAGCTATTTTTGACAAGTACCCTGTACAGTAATTAGTATTGGCTGGCAAGGCGAATCAATAACTGAACATGTACTAGTAGCCTTCCCAACCTTATTCCTACTGTAGATGAACCACTTAGAAAGGACTTGACTGCCCAATACAAGAATGGAAATCGTAATTTGACCATCTTGTGTGCCACAACCGGACACCCAGAAGCCACAACACAGATGCATCACCTGAAGGGTAGAGCTGGATTAATTTTCATTCTACCTCGTTACAGCATTCAATTCATTGCTCAATCTGATAGGGAAATATTTTTTCAAGTCCCACTGATTTTTTTATATAAAATACTTATACAGTACAGTACTATGTGCTAACAACTTTAACTTCGATAATACAAAAAAATACAAAGATTAAAATGCCATGAACAACGCAAGTCCCCACACCAAAAATAACACTGATAAACGGGGGGAGGGGGGGCTTCCTGACATTTATCCCCTTATCTGGTGCCCCTCCCCCTCTTTCCACCACTCCAGGTCTTCTCTCTCATACTTGATACTTTTTTTGTTCTTATCAAAACTTTTCTCTTTGTGCACCGTCAATACTTCACACCTTTACAATGACAGCAAATCAATTAATCAGCTATACGGTATTGTACATCCCCATCTATGCCTTCCCAGCTGCAGTTTTCTGTACAAATTTCAATGATCACTCTTCCCTTAAGAGGTCTGTTTCTCAACCCATTACAGTAATTTGATGGCAGAACATCCACTTTTAGACACTGCTAACACACTCCAATCACACTCGTATTCATCCCTCCTTCACTTGACGGTACATATAACTTTTATTTTAAATATGGTATAAAACACTTTTTTCTCAGGAGTTCTTCATTTTCATGGCATATACGAGTACAGTATCCGACTCCCAATTACATCCAATAATAAACCACATATCTGCCCAGCTTACACATTTCTACTTACAATTTGTAAATAACTTGTACAAAAGTTTACATACACTGCTGATTATATAGTCTTGGTAATTTTCTAAGGTGCTCTACATTATTTATTCAAACAAATAAAGTCCAACAAACAATAAAAGCCATCTCATAACACTGTACCAATGTATACAGCACTATCCCTTCCTACCTATATTAATGTACAATAAGTACAAACCAGCAACTACACAAGGCCTAACCGGTTACTGTATTGGTAATTTAACCAACTCCACACTTCCCCTTAAATATATACTATACCCAGAAATAGTATACAGTATATATAGTTCTCTCATCACTAGGACAATTTGCATTTAACCACACATCAACCAGAACAGCAATAAACGGGTGTACTGCACCACTCTACTCCTGTTAACAGTGATAAAACAGGTGTGAACATTTGGCTTAAAAACTAGTGCTACCAGTGCCTCTACCACCATCACACCACATCTAGACCAGTCCTGCCACACCTCTAGATCAGCCCTACCACACTACACCTAGCCCAGTCCTGACCACCACCACACTTCTAGAGCAATTCTGCCTTCATGCCAGCCACACCTAGCCCAGTTCTATCACCATCGTGCTATACTGCACCTCAACCAGTCTTCCCAACACCAAGCTCGACCTAGTCCTCCCAACACCAAGCTCGACCTAGTCCTCCCAATACCAAACCCGACCCCCCCCCCCAAACCTGGCTTAGTCCCAATACCAATAAGTCACTACTGTCACCTGACCCAACAGTCAGCAACACATTTAGCCTAATAGTGGTTCCAAAAAGGCAAACCTCACCCATTAGGGCAATCACACCTAGCACAATAATACCATCACACTGCCCAATGCTGTAATCAAAACCACGATTGGATAGTCATTCAACTCCCACCCCCTCCCCCCAAGCCCAGTCTGATTATTTTACTGTCACACCCCACTAAGCCTTGCCGCCACCACAGCTCACTTAATCCTATTACCCCTAAAAATATTGGAACTACAGCAATTAAAACTGCATCCGTTTCAGTGCTTAATCTATTAATATTACACTTAGCTCAACTCTACTGCAGCCAAACAGCTTAATACTGTACTGTCAACTCTTTACTCCACCTATAATACTAAACCATGTAACCTAGAACTGGAACTGAAATTACATCTGTTTTACCGCTTCCACAATGTCACTCAATTGAATGCACTACAATATCCATAAAGTGAACACTGTAAAGCCCCTGCTGATTGGTTCCAGTGGCCTAGTTCCTTAATCCAGTCTGGGTAAAATCCACTTGACAAAATAGTAAGTGATCCCTGTCCTGTCAAAATTGAATACTCCCAGACCTCCACTACCTAATCCTTGTACTGTACACATCTGTTCACTAGTACAATATAATCCACAACCATCTTAACATCCAAAAAACTACTAACAAGCCAGAAAACTTTATTTACATTAACCATTTTAAACTACCGGTACAGTAATCCATCCCAATAATGATAAGAGCTACAAATTCATGACCGACCTATAAAGAAAATATGGTTGTCATATATTGACTGACATTACCAAATATACAGTAAAGCCTTTTTAAACCCTAAAGTATTTTAACAAGAATTTCCATTTCATAATTTTCCATTACACTACCAAATTATTTCCACCCCAAATACTGTTCTGTATTACTTGTGAAAACCATGAAAAGTCTCACCAAATATTCAAATAAAATTTAAAAAAATACATGTCCGACATGGATCTTAAATTCTATAACTCTTGAGACAAATATTAAGCTGGAGCATCTCCCAAACATAAATGCCATAGAAAAATACTGTGCTGTACTCACCAGTTTCTGTGACTTGCTTCATGGCTGCAGCCATATCATCGTATCTCTCTGCCTGTTCGGCGAGCTTGGCCCGCTGTACTTGTTCCTCCTTATCTCCCATTGTGTCTAAAACAAAATAAAACAAAAGTGAGGAATTTATCCACAAACTATAACATGTAATGTATTTTATTTAAATCTGACATCACACCTCTTCCAATCTTAAGACCTCATCAAATACTGTACTATACAGTACAGAAGTGAACAATCTGAGGTACACAATACTGTACTGTACATAAACTACAAAAAACTATCTTTGGCGAGTCTTGCAAAAAACACAAGCCAAAGAAAAATAGTGCACAAGGAATGGTAGATCTTGATAGATGCTGCAAGAAATAAGACTGACATGGTATGTAGGTTTAGGAGAGAGCTATTATACATTTAAATTTGTAACTACACCCATCACCTCATCCAAGTGCACCAGTGAATAAAATGTTAAGATTATTAGAGCAGCTGAAACATATACAGTACCAGTACAAATATACTACAGTACACATCCAACCTTGAGACTAGAACAGGTCTGTCACCACAGGTTTAGTTTGAAAACACTTGAGATCAAGAGAGCAATAGCTTCTGTAGTACCATACAACACTACAGTAAATAAAAAAAAAATCAGTTGGGTTGAAAGATTAATCGAGGTCAACAAGTTTATCAATTTGGCTGACAGCCCATTCAATTAATTCTGCAGTGAACTGTAACTAACAATTTTATGTACCCAATCCCAGCATAATCATCATGCTATGTAACAGCTCAAGCAATTAAATCAAACTGCAATGTCATCACCACCATCAACGCTTGCCTGTGCTAACCGCAATTCTAATTACAAGCCAACTCCAGAGAGCACTTTTAGAATTGAAGCCTTTTTAAAGTAAAGATAATAGCAACAGCATTATCAATGAAGCAACAGCATAAAAAGCAGTACCTAAAATGCTCCCTGCATCAAGCAACCCAGAATTGCAAAGGGCCAGAAGTAATCTTTTATGTAATAGCATCACTATTACAACATAAAATAATCCTCTACAGTACCATACATATATAGTTCAACAAGGCTATGACATTAAATCATGGCCCAACTGTAGCTCAACTGGCCACTGGTTATTAAAACATTAACTAAACTAAAGCCCCACTGGGTGCTGGGATATACACCAAGGAGAATATCTCCCATTTCCTGGTAATGCTGAATATTTTATAATGTACCCCATTAATATAAAAAGCAACATTTTGCAATGGTATTTCTCAGTGCAGTACAGTACACCTTTCCTGTTTAGTCTAGCCAACAATCTTTGTGAACATCGGACCTCCACTTCGTGACACCGAATATGGCTATTCTTTATCATCCCCATCAGGACAAAGCTACAGTACAGTAGTGAATGCTGGCCAATTTATATTAGCTAACAGGGGAAGTTACTTGTTATACAGTAACAATCATAAAATTATTTTAACTGAACAGGAAGGTGGCCGGTATTTCACTACATTTTCACACTACGGTAATGTCCTGTATAATGCATAAAAAAATCAGAATCGTGAACTTTTGCTTCTCAATGGCTAAAATGTCATGTACAGTACTTAGTTCTGTACAGTATCCCATTATCCACAAATGTAATCCTGTATGGCAAACTGTATTTAATTAAAACAGGTATTGTTCAGTGTACAGTATTTGTCAAATGGTAGACAAATACCAGTGTATGATCTAAAAGGTTAATTAAAACCAATAAATCTTATGATGATAATCCTCCACCTTATCCACTCTGTAGTACAGTACCCTAAAAAGCAAAAGGTTCAATGACTTCTCTGATGTCTGGATATCTGTAGGAGGAAACAATGGCATAAACCTTAGTGCCCTTTCTTGTCATACAGTACAATCCTCCTGTCAAGAACCAGCTACTGCCCTTTAATAAGGTTTGGTTCATCTCTTCAGACCAACGATTCGCCAATTTGTCGTCTTCAACTTAACTCGCATGTGAAACCTTAGGGTAAACCCTCTAACCCTTCACTGCGATTACCACACTTAATAATTTTACTCTGGCTACTGCCAGATTTTATTCAGCTTAGCAGGATACTGTACTCTTAAGAACATTCACAAAAGTAGCTGACAAAGCAGGAAAGGTACACCAGACCTCATACACCCTACAACTAAAAGCCCACCCTATCGCTAAATGTGCCCACAGTTCTTAACTAAAACCAAGCAGCTTATTGTGGAACTCCTTGACCAGATAACACCAATCACCCAAAATGCAAACCTTACTTTTTCTGCTAATAGCCCAACTGAACAACTCCATACATTCCAAGAGACCTAACAATTGAATCTGTCTGGGAATGAAGCGAGACAACTCTAATCACCCAAATCCCCACTTTAGCCATAGTCTGAGGCACATCTGTACTATATCTTGCCTTAGACAGCCGAACTGTTGCAAGCAATCCAATCCACCGGATAAATCAAACCGGATATACTTTTCTGGCAAACACCCCAATATCAGTGCTGTAATCTAGGTAGAGATCCTCAGCAATTTTCACTGTAAATCCACCTCGCCATTCTTAATTCTAGCTCGCTCAAGCCTGTGTATGTCATCCTCTAACCACCGATATTTCAGAGCCATACATATCAAACTTCTCACACCAGTTACACTGTACATCATTCCTTTGTCATTTCTGACTCTCAAACAAGCTAGCTTCAGCACCACCTACAGTACTGATCATGTAACCCAGGTAGCAAAATTCAAGATGATCCAGGGATATATCCCTTAAGTTGAGTTCCTCCAGTCTTGCCAAGGCCACACAATTACCTGTGCATAGTCCTTAAAAGTTGGCAAAATTTTGCAGTCTGCCATTTACATATAACACCTTGTGTATCCACCTTCCATATAATGCACATTATAAGAGTTGCTGCCAACCTTCCTTAGACAAAACATACGGCCGTTTTCCACCATGGGTCCCTTACCCATGCCACAAATCAATATACAGTACAGTATACTTGCTTTGCACACATTTGCACAAGGCCTTTGACTATGCCAGTCTTCCATTCCTTAAAATTTTCCAGTCTCTTCCAATATTATCTGCTATTAGCACAAGGCCATCAGCATACAACTATTCCCAGGGAAGGGCAGACCAGACCTAGTCTTGTTATGGTGCCTCTAGCACCATGATAAACAAAAAGGGGCTCAATACAGACACTTGAAGAACCCCAACCTGCACCTCAAAGACGTCATTTTCCTTGCCATTTACTTTTTTTAACCCTTCATATACAGTAAGGCCGTAACCACTCAAGACACTTCTTAACCCGACTTTCTCAGTGCCCGCTGGACTGTACTACCATGAGGTACCCTGACGTGTATTTCACCAAGTAAAGGTTCGTTTTAGATCAATCCATCAGAGTACTGTACCATCCTCATATCTTAGACAACCGACCCTAAATACCAGGTATTGCCCATAGTCCCCCAACTAGGAATGAACCCAAACTGCACTAATTAACATCCACTCCCCCCCCCCAATAACCTTTTTTTTGTAACTTTCCACAACTTTCATTACCTGATCTAACAGCTTCAGGGCTACTGTCTGTAATGATCATATTCAAAGGCATCACCTTAATCCTTGTAGGTATTCACAACCACACTTCTCATCAGTCAGCAGAAACAGAACATTCCATTGTGATTGTATTAATAAATGTCACCATCTACACATTTGAGGCTTTCAACATTTCTACAACTATACCAAGGCTTCCAGCCTTTTCTGTCGACATTTTGTCAATTGCTTTCTTCAGCCAATCTTTCAATCCTTGAACATGGTCCGTGTACAGTACAGTACTGACTTTGCTGCCCCTAGGTTATTCCTGCATTTTTCCGATAAACTCCAAACCCCAGTTGACCCGTTTAAGTCACCCTAACCCCAATACTGTATCAGGTACTGGTAGTCTATACGTATCAAATTTTCATATCGCATTTCAATTTAACACAAACTAGTTTGAAAAATATATATTGTCAAGTTTCATTTTCTCGCAATGCCACCGAGAAATTTTAACCTCATACAACACACCAGTTGATGCATAGCCGAGTGAAAACACAAATGCTCAATATGCAGCTCCTTACCACTAATTGCATAGCTAATTTTCTTAAACATTATTACATGCTAAGAGTATTGGGTGATCATGGTAATGGCTAATACAGTAGTAATGGGGTGGTGGCAAGTGGGCAGTTGATAAGTGGCCATGAGAAGATATACTTGAACATGCCTCATGTTCTATTTTGGACAGTATATCTGCACAAACAGTATATAGCCAATCCATTCAGTATCAAGACCCCAGGGTCTGGTGGAATAGAAAAAGAGAACCTCCAAAATTTTTATGTATTAGTTAGGTTGGTCTCCAATGTATCATTCTTTCAGACACCTGGAGTCTGGATACTTTTTGGATTGGCTGTACTTTATGTTTTTGTTTAAAAGGATTTCTGTACAAAAAATTTACCCAAGTACAGGTACTGTACTCCCAAAATTCCCAGACAAGAATACATCCCTACTTACTGCAGTCCAGTTCAATGCAGTTTCTTAGAAAAATTTGTAATACATACCAAGAGTCTTCAAGAACAGAATATTTGAGAAAGAGGACTACAGGTACAATACATGTATTCAGATAAACAGCCTCTGCTGTTCAGTACACTGTTCTTTCCTCTTTTTACACTTACACACAGTACAATACCTTAACAGCCCCATATAAAATTTTTCTTCGACCTCATACTTTTTCAAATTTTACGACTACAGTATAGTATAGTATACTTAGCTAAGCAAGGCTGTGAAAATGACAATGGAGGTACTGTAATAAGGTGTACAGTACCACTTCAGCATAAAATTTCCACCTTGCAAGTAAGGCAAGTCAAACACCAAGTCAGGTGTCAATAGGAGGAACAATATCCCCACAAAATTAGCTTTACTTGGTTGGAAGGGAATGGAAGAAATTTCAACTCTTTAGTGCCTGACCTAACCTTATCTTAGACTGGATGCATATTTTTCCAACAATTTGTCTGGTGTGACAAAGGTAGTGTTCTGAACACAACTCTCCCCCATAATGGGAGGTCCAACCT